CTCCTCTGCATTCTCCATTTTGGTTCCAGAGGCTCATGTTCGTGATTTGGGTTGGTGGGCTAACAACTCTGATGCTCTCTGGGCATATGTTGACTTGCAGTGCCACCCCACATCCTACTATTTCTGCTTGTTTGGTTGGTTGGTGGTTTGGGCAGATTCCTTGCGGCGGGAAATCTGTGAGATCTTTAGTGAGCCGTCTCCTGCCACCCCTGCCCGGCCTTCTTGATCATTGTCCTTACTTCCCTCTTGGGTGTTTTTTTTCCGCCCCCCATTTCGGTTCTTCCCTAGCTCCTCACGTGTACCGGATAGTTGGGAATTTGGCAAAACACTGACCTTGGGGTGAATGCACCCAACAGATGCATATTTAGTTGTGGGATGTTTGGATGTTGGACTCTGGTATATGTGGCTGTGTGGACATGGTTTGCGATATCTGTCGTGTCGGGTGTGCGACGAGCTGGAAAAGTGATTGTAATTGCTTTTTCCAGCGTGTGCCCTGGGTGGGCAGAATTGCAGGGCTGAACGTAACCGTCCGTTGCTGGGGCTGGATGCCGTTGAGGTTGCGCAAAAAGTGACACCTTCATGTGTCCGTGGCGTTTCGCTCCACCTCCCCAGCATGATTGGCTCGAACGGATATGCCTAAGAGCTGCAACTCGGCCCTGCTTACATGAAGGGACAGGCGGTCGCCCGCGCGGCGGGGGCACGGTAGCGGGAGGGGAGCGCGGGGAGGACGCCCCCGGTGCGCTGAAGCCGCGGCGCCCAGGGCGGGCGAGATCAGGACCGGGATTGGGGGAGCGCACAGTCTGGGCGTCGACGCGCGAGAATCGACGCTGCCGGCCGGGCGAGGCGCTGCCGGACCGGAGGGGGGCCGCGACACGCGGTGGGTGGCTCGCTGATGGCGTGGATGGCATTTTGCGGCATAGAGGGGGCATGTTGTGGAGTGGACGCCAGCATCCTGGGCAGAGTGATGCTGCCTGTGGCTGAGTCCGCGCAAAACTTGAGCGTGTGGAGTGGGGCGCAGCGGAGTCATCTGGCCGGACATCGGCGAGCGCTTGGTGGTCGCGTGTTGAAGAAAAGAAAGGTGCTTGCGCCGTTTACAGCACGCTGCCTTTGACCAGGGGCAAGGGCGAGTGGCCCTGTCGAAGGCCGGGGTGGTGCCGTTGCCTGCCTTTGAGAAGAAGCGGATTCAGACTACGGGGGTATGTGGAGCGCGGGCGGCCGATCGGGGTGCGCGAACGGTTTATTTCGTGGCCCCGTCGAGGACACCGCAGTTTCCGTGGCGGGTGCTGTCCTTGCGGTTGCGGCGCGGTCCGTGGCTGCGGGAGTGGATGTGGGCGCGCTGCGTGCCGAGAGCTTTCCCCAGCTTGAGGGGGTGATCCGCAACGAGTCGTACACTTTCTGAATCCAGACGGCTGTCCGCCCGGCACGCCGCACGGCAATTGGCCGGGGTGTCGGAAGAAGACCCGGGAAGGAATTAAATTTCTGCCTTTGTGAATTTCTGCCATTTCTGCCATTTCTGCCGTTGGATTTCTCCGAAATGTGCGAATCTCGACGACGGTTGGATGTGTCGATTCGGCCCATGGATTGGCAAGGGTTACGCAGAGGATGAGAAAACCCGATTCTTGCGAGAATCAGCCACTTGGCTGGGTTGGTGGCAAACGGCGCCAGGAAAGCACCGCTGACATGAAGCTTCAAAGGCAACAGCCATTCTCGTATTCCGTGGCACCAATACACACCCTGACATTTTGCGCCCTTCCACACGTTTTTCCCTTCTCAAAATTTATGGTTGCCCCACTTGGGCAGAGCTGCGTTGTGAATATGGTTCTGATTTCAAGCAAGGAGGAAGTGGAGGCTATGGCCTCCACTGCTGTCATTCTGAGCACTCCTGCGGCAGTTGGCTGCTCAGATTAACGTAATTTCTTGTTGCTCAGGTTGAACTAGCTATATTAGCTATTGCCATAGTTAATGATGGTGGACACAGCTCCAGCCACCCAGGCATTGGCCCCCTGCGTGCCATGGACGCCTCCAGCATCCACGATGCCCTCAAAGCCATCAACGCCTTCGATTTCCTCAACGTCCTCACCGACCTCATCGCCTGTGACGCCGGGGACAGCCATTGTACACCACCGGCAGACATCATCATGCTGCACCACCCTGTCAGAATGCAGTTTCTACTCGGCGCAGGAGTTTTGGGAAAACCCCAATCTTGGTGACAGCTGGGAATGCCCCTTGGGCACGGAGGAGCAAGAGCAGGGCCAGCTGCGCACTCGCTCCAAGTCAGTGGAGTCCTTCCTGCCATGGGAAAATGGCCCATCAAAAGGGCGAAGGCCCCTAGAGGGGTTGGCCTCAGGCTTTCCGGAGCCAGCAGTTGCCCTGACTTCGAAGAGCGAAAAGTGCTTTGCAGTGGTGCCACCTCTTGAATTGGGGCAAGTTACCTCTCGCAATACTGTGGGGGGTGCGAAGGGACTGCCGGTGGTGCCTCCCTTGCAGCTGGAGGGCTTGACTTCAAGCAATTTCAAGGACACCATCAGCATTGAGTTTTCCCAGGGACCAAAGGGCTTTCAGACCTGCCAAAACCAGCTCTTCGTGGCGAACTCTGAGGTGTCATCTTTTGCTCCTGACTCGCCCCTCAGTGAGCCACAGGCTTCGCCAAAACAACTGCGCCGGCGGTCCAAAACGCTGTCCCCTCCTATCCAAACTCTGTCAAATGAGCTTTTTGTGGAGGATGAAGATAGCCTGCCAGGCAGCGCCAGTAGCGAAGTGCGGGACCAGCCCTTCCGGGATGCCAAGCCCGTGAAAGTGAGCCTTGCAAAGCGGAGCGTGACACAGATCGCCAAGATTGCGTGTATGTGTGCTCACCCTGCTGATGGCCAGGGCATTGGACCTTGGGAGGGTGCTCACTGGGGAGGAAAGAAAGCCAAGGGGCGATTGAGGGCACCACATGGGAATCGGAGTGCCTCCAGGTCTGGCCATCGAACACCTCTTGCAACTATATGTGAACATGGCGATGAGTGCCCTGAAGGGGAGGCACTGGCAGCTTCATTCGCCAACGATGCTCGCCACACTGTTGCTAGGAAATCTTCTGGGGTTAACAATGCAGGGATCGGCCCAAGAAAGGACCTCAAAATGAAGAGCTTGTGCCCAAGCATACCCGGCACAGACACCAAGAAGTTCACTGCCGATGGTCCCAACGCCTCCTGGGTTGATGAGCAGTTCTTTGACTGCAGTGAGGCCTGGGAGGTCATGCTGGCCCCGTTCGACTCTGCCAGGGGCATGGACGAATGGTCACAACAGCATAACACTTTTACAACTTCAATGCGAAGTAAACCAAAAGGGGACAAGGGGGGTGCTGTCCCTTGGGTGGTCCCAGCAGGCCTCCAGCGGCCACACCAGCAGAAGGCAAGTGTAGAGGACATCACCCCTGTGTACATCCCACTCAGTGCAAGGGGTGGCACCGATGACGTGGATGGGGACTGGGTAGCAAATCTCTCTGCTCGTAAGGTGAGGTTGCCAGGGCTAGCGGACATGCCAAGGCAGGATGAGCTGGGCCTCGGGCTGAAGAGCGTGGAGGAGCTCGCAACAACTTGCACAGGGATTTGGCAGCGCATCCCTGAAGAAAGCGACGACCCATCGCCGCTGTGCGATGTGATGGAGTTGCCATGGATCTTCAAACGCGCTCTGAGCATGGCCACACAGACTGAGGTGGGTGGGCATGAAATGGAAATGCGCGGATTTCACATGGACATAGTGTTAGAGCTGGTTCCTGAGATGGAGTTGACAGTGAACCCATTCAGTGGGCTATAGCATGGATTTGCGTCCGCTATCACAATGAAGGCGCAAAGGTGGTATTTTGTCACTTCCGGCAACGATCAAAGAAGGTACAAAGGCCGAGAAGAGGCCTGCTTTGTGCGCCTCAGTGGGCCTGACTGAGGTTTTCCACTGACCTTGCAGATGGACACGATTTAGGCAAGGATGTTGCACATAAGGATTGGACACACCACCGCCGGCTTGAGTTTGCAGTTGCTGGCAAGTTTCATAGGCTTGCTGCACCACCATGTGCTCTTGCATCGGTGGTTTCTAATTTTTAATCCAAAATTTGATATGCTGCATCGGACGTGTCTTGCCGTAGCCTCCTCACTTTCCTTGATTGCAAGAGATTCGAAACGTGGATGTCTGCAAACAACAACTAAAAGTTGTGCTCATAAGAGATTTCCTCTCGAGGTGCGTGTGCACAGCCTGTTGGTGACAATTCGCTGACAACGGCAACCACAGTCAACAAGCAGCTGTCAGTTCTGATTAGATCCAGATAGGTAGCAGCTCAAGCAGCATCTTGCCAAAGTGTGTTGCTTACTCCAGGAGCTCGGTCGGATCTGATGGTATCCGGACAGGCAACATCTCAGAAGCATCCAATCCAGCAACGACGTGTTGCTTATCAAGATGCTTTGCGGCATAAACGTATCGGTTGCCCCCTCAGCCATGATTCCCCTTTCAGGTAGCTGCAATCAAGAGGAAGGCAGATGTGACCAGAAGCATTTCCATGCTGCAATTAGCTGATTTTGCTGTTGAGAATGTAGGAAAGACTAAAGGCATGTGCACGATCGGGTGTACAGGTGAACTCAATCAAATGGAAAGCCACTGTGGCCATGAGGGTTTCCATATTGCAATGTGCAAGTAGCTGAACTGAGCACTATTGGTATTGCTCACACTCTGCCCCAAGCTACTCCAAAGTGCAGTGATTCCTAGCGTCATTGGCTCATTGCTATATTGTCTGAGAGTTTTGTTCACAGGCGCACTCATCCCCTAAGTATTTTGTATGTTTGCAGGTAGCTGTGGACAAGCATCGGGTTGCTGTAAAGCCCAAACTGTTTCGCCTGGCCGTGCCAACAGCAGCCACTCCCTGGTCACGGGAGGGTGTCATGGTTCCCCGAAGGGACCGCAGGAAGGGCATGTCTAGGATATGCCTTGTGAGAACAACATTCGGCTTCAGGCAATAGTAAGTGGTAGCCACTATTTTGGGATAGGCACCTGTCCTGGTAAACAGTGCTCACTGTTGCCCAATAGGTGAAAGGGCTGGCGTATGCTGCTTTGGCAAATGCAATCTATAGTTGTTCATGAGTGTCTTTGGTTGTGGAATGTGTGGGGATTTAATTCTTCACTGTTGCGTAATGGCAGATGTTTGGGCCCCTGTCCTTGCCCCAACATATGCAGTGTACCATTCTCTCTTATTTGTTCCATTTCTTACCACTGCGCTTTCTGGAAGCACACTGCCTTGCGTTGGCCTGCAGACCTGACAACAGTGCAATGCGACAACAGTGCGGTCTAGGAAGGCATGGACGGACAGTGCGCGAATTCATAGCTGGATGCTGCATCCCCAGCATCCATTAAAAAGAAGTGGGATATAGGGATGGAAATACAGCGATACAAATAGATAGTGGAAGCATAGGAATACAAATGGGATGTATACTCATAAACTGAGTGCACAGGCTGTGGGGTGGGCTCAGGGCACTGCCTCAAACGTGCACAGCATCGGTGCTGCGAACGTTTCAGCCGGTGCTCTGCGCCCGCTCCACAAGCTTTGCACTCAGGTTTGCTTTTTTCAATCCTTGCATGCCATGGTGAAAGAGTGACACTGTGACAAGGGCCGTGAATCGGCATCAGAAGGAGCTGTCTCATACTGTGTGCTCGTCTTGCAGCAACTGTTGGGCCGATCCCTATGCTGGGATGAGCATCGTGGAGATTGGGGTTCGCGATGACGGAAAACTTGTGATGAGCACGTTTATCAAGCGGCGAACGGGACCTTCCTGCAAAATCAGGTGATCGCCCTAGACTGAGGCAATGGCATACTTGAGCCGAGTGGTGTGGCACTGTGGAGCGCGCAATTCTGACCTGATAGCAATTGGTAAAACTAGCAAAAGGCTGCCAATGCCATGATGGGCGTTTAGTGCAACGTCAGATTTGTGTCCAAATGCTCTCTTCACATAATACATTTCGAACGCCATAGCCAGGTTTGAACCCATGCGTGAACCGCCGGCTTCCATATTTCCAGTCTGCACGTCGAACGACTGGAATCGCGGCAGGATACAGAATTTCACCCTGTGCTGTGGCACGCCTGGTGCATGAGCTTCTCTTGGGGCAACCTCAGGTCTGTGGAAGGCGCCGATGTGCAAACAGCAGAATCCTCCAAGACAGCCATGTTCGGACACCAGCCCGGAACAATTTGAGGAAAACTGGATCCGTCTGCATGGAAATCTTGAACGTGCAGTGAAGCCTGCTGGGATATCATGACAAGCCGAAACCCATATCCCTAGCCGAAGTCTGACAGCTCTCTGACTCAGCTAGCCCTGGCTGACAGCTCGGTCCCCGCAAGTCACCCTTGCAGTAACTCGCCATCGTCCATCAGTATCGGTATCGGTATTGGTATCCATTAGTTCTGATGCTGCAATAAACCCGCCACACGTCCTCCTTCTCTCGCATGGGCCAGCCTTCTCGGGCCAGGTTCATGCCACTACAGTGTCGTGTGCAATAGCATTTGTCCTTGCCACTTTGCGAAGCATTGAGTTGGGCTGGCGAATGGCCATTTTCTCACTCAACAAATTCCGTGGTCAAAGTTTTCAGAAGACAATGCACCAACGCAGCTTGCCCTTTTGTCGAATTTTCCGGTCACAACGCTTGTCTCACCTTCGTGTTTCTGCTTTCGTGACAGGACATGCATGTTCAAGATACAATAAGCCCGAGCGAGGCGAATGGACCGTGGTGCGGCCCCCATCGGCGCTGCTAGTATTCCTTTTTCCTATCTTCCTGCCATTGACTTTGGTGACCAAAACTGACACCATCCATTTCATTCCTCCCGGGTTGCGGGGACGGGGACACAGCCAAGCAGCACACCTGTGGAGCCCATTCTGATATAGTTGCCGATTTGGGGAACCTACATTCTTTGCCCCCCAGTTGCTACTGGACATCCCCAATGCCCGATGTCTGTTGCTGTTGGGAGATTCTCGGCCCTGATATGCGCAACAAGCATTTCGTTGCAAAGGACGGCCGTGATGGCGCTAGGGCTGGCGATTTATGCGGGTCCCCCACTTCGACTTAGTTAGCCTTGTTGTGGCGGCGAGTAGGCACCCAAGCAGGTGCCATGGCCGCATAGGGTTCTGTTCGATTGTCAGTGCTCAGACTTCGTTTGAACTCTTCTTTGATTATATCTGTCCGCTTGGCAGAGGGATGCCTCGGACTTGCAACGCGCGATGGACACTTTTGACCTCCCCAGCGATAGCTCCCAGAAGGCCCCTGGGTGTATCAAACGTTTCAAACCTGGCGCTGAGAGACCGGTGCTTGTGGAGTGAACAACTTGTGGCAACACTTGTGTGTTCGGAGCAAACAGTGTCCTTGCACCTGGAAGGCTGTGGGGCGTGGCAGAATTCAGGGGCGTTGCTTTAGGGTTGATCGGGGCCTGGGAGCCATTCATCAGAAGCAAATGGCCGATTGGATAAAATGTAACGACCGGCATGCGCATAATTGATGAGCGACGGCTCTGACAACACCACGGATGGCGATTCTTTGAGAAACGTCGCGTGCGAGGGCACTGGGAGGGATAGAGCATAACCCACCTGCGGTGGTGGCGAGGACAGCCAGGACCTGGCCGACATTGAAAGTAAAGTGTAGCGAGTGAAACGTTGACAAAAATCATCTGGGGATGATGAGCAATTGTCGACAACAGCACCGGCGCATGTCCTCATGCGGCAAGCGCACTGGTTCACCAATGAAGCTCACTCTGACCACGTGTATCCTTGCATTTCAAGCCACAACGCCCTTGCTGCATCCATGAGGCTGGTGCACCGGACGGCAGTGGCTGAAGACCTTGGAGAGGAGGCAGGGAACGACATTTTGGTGCGTCTTGTCCACCTCGCTGCCTGCCAACTCTCCCGGCCACAGGGCGCCATTTCATGCAGGTGAATAGAAGGTGCGGCGTCGTGCTGCGCAGGTTCAGGCTGGTGCTCCTGCGGAGCGCCGGCCAAGAAACGGAGGCCGTATGCATTGAGCGGCAGCCACACGGTCAAAGTTCTTGCGCCAATTGGCGAGCATCGTGCATGGCTTTGGAAAGTTGAAGGTGCCCGTTGTTGGCACGCAGTAACCAGCACCTATCGCACGGCGGCTTCAGGCAGTACCCATAGTCTTGTTTCCATTCACCATCCAGCGGCAATTCGACGCCCCATGGAACGGAAACATTGTGCACGTTGCATGATGAATGCCTTTTGTTTTGGGCGATCTATATGCGCTGAAGCACTCAGCAGCGCAGCCACCGCGAGAACCGAAACAAGCACAGTCAATCTGGGCACGTCCCAAATGAGCAGCTGCGTTCTAGCCCGAAACAACGCTGTTCAGAGGCCTGAATGCACAGAAGATCATGTGCTTCAGCGGTTTGGTGCTCCCGCAGCGACACATTGAACACACAACCATTGTGCCAGAGCCACACAATCGCCCTGCGGGCCGTCTTTGGACGCATCCCAACAACAGCATAGTTCGGATACTTAAAAGGTTTTCTGTGGCAATTGTCAGGTCCTGCAAAATGACAAACTCCAAACGCAACCCTGGAGTGTCTCAACCACCAAAGAACGATCCAACTCACACCTTTTGGTTTGTCCCATTACCCCCAAAGCACCAAACAATCCAACATTCTGTTACTCCCCCTCGTTCTCATGGCTTCCCCCAAAACGGCGTGAGACCTTGATGGGTACTGCCGGATCAGGCACCCTTTGTAGCCACTCAGTTGGCATTATCCCTGATACATGCAGCTCCGCATCGCATGTTCAAAATGGCCCACCTTTGGTCTCCATTCCCCACGAGCTTGCATGAAATAATCACGCTCACATGCATGCTAACAAAAAAAATACCTGGCTGGCAAGTTTCCTTGCCGAACAGCCCTAGCCAACAATATATCCTATCAAGAGAAGAGCATACGTTTAATGGCTTGACCATTGGCTAGGACATATGGATACATTGACCCAAACTTATTCTCATCCACCGAATACTCTGCCAACGAGGAAAGGCCAATATGAAATCGCCAATGGCCATAGCTCATCCCCACTAGCACAGCAATAGAATGGCTTGCTGTGATCCCCGCGTCTGCTGATTCAACTGGATGCACTGACATTCTATCACCCCTCACGGCCAGTCAGGCCACCTCCAGCCTGTCCGCCAACATCTTGCTGCATCGACCACTGAAGCAAACGCTAATCCGGCCTCAGCTGTCAAATTTCCAAAGCTTTGCACATGGTCACATCCACCGGTACAGGAGCGCGAGATGTACCAAATGCGTCCCACTGCAATATTCTCCAACTGTCTGTGAACAACGGCTGCCTATGAAACACGGCTGTCAGCTCACCAACCTGGACAGGCTGCAATGAGCCCAGCACATCCTGTGCCCACCCACCACCCAAGCTTGCTTGCCACAATCACTGCCATGCCGCTGCTGCCCCAGCCCCATTCCTCAATCGCACACTCGAGGCCTGGCAGTCTGCCAAGAGCCCATGGCACTGGACAGCGGTAGAGCTCAAGGCTCCTCTGAGCCTATTCCACCGTTGCCTCATTGCTGGCCCGCCATTCTTGAATAGCGGACTTCAGGCCGTGGTTGGCTATCAGGACAATTTCGACCATGGCCTCGTTGGTCATCGGGGATCGCCTGTGCGCCTTCAGCCACTGCATGATGGCCTTCCTTTCATATGTGTAGCCGTCTGCCGCCATCACCGGGTCCTCCATGATTTCCTGGGCAAACATCGACAAGGAGCCAGTGCACTGAGTTCCTTCATACTTACAGAACAAAGCACAGGCACAAACAGCTGCCATTTGCGGAATTAGTGCACTGTGCTGGCACAAGAGTCTGACTGGACAGCTGTTGCGTGCACATGGGAAGTTCTCCATACATAAACAACACTGTTGTGAGATTGCCGGCCACTGAGGTGCAGAACTATGCCGGTACAAAGGTTGTCAGGACGGTTGTTGCAGGTAGAAGGGCAGTCCTCCATTTACAAGACAAATGCCACAAAGTTAGCAACAAGGGCTAGTAGCTGCGCAGAAGAACACAACACAGGAGCTCGGCGACTGATCAAGCGCCACAGCATATATGCAGCCACCACATCGCTCCACTCGCTGGGCCTGGGGCCTGGCATGACATGCGGGTCACGCCTCTCCTTGTGCAACGGGTTTACTTTCTGTTAAAAAATACGATCTTGCCATGGCGGGTCACGCCTCTCCTTGTGCAACAGGTTTACTTTCTGTTAAAAAATACGATCTTGCCATGGCGCCAGGTAAACTTGGGAAGGAGCAACTGCAGGGCACACAATTAACATTTTGAGAAAGGCCTTCCGCAGAGCGTATGCGGTGGTAACAGCAAAGCAAATGAGGACAGCCACTCATGTTGTTTTAGTTTCTCTTTTCGCCATTCTCTCCTTGGTTAAGGTGGACAATGCTGGTACAATTTAAGGGATGAGAGTTTAGGTAGCTTTTCGTGCTTGCCGGGGGCATAGACAAGATCGTGCACATCAACTTAATCTGGTGCACAATAACAACGGTAGCCCATTGGGTCAGCCCTTGCACCACACTGCACTGTTTAGAGGTGTTGTAAAAGACACGAGTTTCTTCTGCCATGACAAGTGGGCAGCCCAGCTTCATAAGGCTGACATACATCCCAATAACAAGAACAACACAGACTCACATGCGTGATCGGACAAACGAACAAGTCTGCGATCTTCTGCTGCCGAGCTGCCTCCGCAGCAGTGGCCTCCGCGATGCCCCTGTCCCTTGCACGTGCTGATTCTGAGGCGGATGCTTCCAGCCCCAACAGGGTCCCTGTTGCAGAGTCCCGCACCGATGCTTCCAGGTCCTCACTGCGGCTGCCCACTGACAGGGGCACTCCATCTGCTCCCACGTCCCCACTGGCCATCTCCCCATTTCCCCCCTGCGACACGAAGGAGCTGCCTGCCATCGAGTCAGTCCATGGGCTGTAGGATGAAAGGAATGGCACGCCCATCGCCCGGTCCCCCTGCGCGTCCACAAAACAATGGAACAATTTACACCTTCCTTTTTGCTGTGATTCTGGTGGACAATACTGCCCTTACTCACGGGAAGGGTTCCCAGTTTGCGGACCTGCTTGGAGATCCGCTGGTGTGGGAAACAGACATGATACTTGTGATCAACCGTGTTCACACTTCCTGTAATCTAATGTTCATCTACAACACCTGCAATAGCGATCAATCAGCTAATTGCCAGTCTGCCAATCAAGCAAGCAAGCGCCCTCGCAATGAGAGCTATGGGCACTGAAATCTTGCCTCTCAACACTGATGTAAGCTGTTTTCGTCCCTTAAAGTCTGTCACACCAAAGAGCTCAGGGGATTTCGTTCACCCAACAATGGGTGACTCCTTGACAGCACCAACCTTCCCTCTGGACCTCACCCAAGAATGCGCCAACACCCACATACCAAGTTAAGCGCAGTCGGACATTGGGTCCTGGATGCTGCATAGCCTGACGAAGCAGCTGTTGAACAGATCGGATAACAGCAGAGATACAACACACCGCCCACATACTCTCACAAGCCTGTGAGTAGTGATGTGGTGCTCTCGAGTGACGCCAATGTGGCTGCTGTTGAGGATGTTCATCGTCATCCAAAAGGCACGAGAACACCATGTCGCCCTTTACATACAGGTTATTTCAGAAAAGTGAGACAGGGACTCACCTGCACGTCCACTGGCTGCGTCTGGCCCCCACGTGGCAAGACGGGCACCCTGTCTGGATGGTGCCTCCGGACCCCTGAGGGTGGCATCAAAATCGACTGATTTGTGTACCTGATCCCCGATGGAGAAAATCGAATATATGTGAGCCGATTCCCCTGAGGGTTCCTACGACCATCCATGCCCAAAGCTGACGATGACCCTCGTTCATGACGGTCCCTGGAACCCAAGGCAGGATGGCTGCTGAGGCGTGAGTAATGAGCCTGCCGCCCATGGGAGGCCCGGTCAGTGCCTGAGCCAGACCTGGGCCCACCAGACCCACGGACATGTGCATACATGTCGTTCAGCCGCTCCTGCCGATACTCTCGGTACTCCTCAGCTACAGAATGGGGTCGCCTGCGCCAACGGCCCACCCCGTAGCAGAAGCCCATGTACCGCAGCATGTGGACAGTGCAAAAGCTCACCACCAGCAGGAACACGCCTGCTATGATTATGCCTGTCACTACGATGCCGTCATCAACAAACTGGCCATCTGCAGCAGGGTGGAACGATTGTCACTGAATTTAGGAACCTATATGAGTGCTTGTTGGTTTAAGAAGGCTTTGTCATGTGACAGCAAACACTGTTGGCAAATTTTAAGGAAGATTCAAATGCATGGTGGCTCTTCCCTGCTAAGAACTGCCGTGCCCTGGCGGGGTATCTGCCTTTGTACTTGCATCTGCAGGGCTGCAGAGCACTTCCACCACAAATTCGTCCACCTTGACAAGTGCAGTTGCACCGCTCTGTTGTAGAATGAAGTTTAAGCCTCAACGTCCATGCAGTTCAAACAGCCAGTCTCAAAACGACCACTGTCCATGAGAACAACAACTGAGGCTGCTACATAGTGGATTTTGCACCACGCCATTGTTTGGGGTTTGAAATGGATATCAATACCATATATTTCATTATCAGTTCTTACACTTGTAACACTGATCAAAATACTTCAACAACTGCATACATGCCAGTTGCCATCAAACAGCCAGTTGGCAATGGCACCTTCAGAGCATTACCGATTGACAAAGCAGACAGGCCGAGGCCACATATCTGAAGATAGTGCACATCCAAGCTGCGGAACTGGTGCAAGGCAAGTCGAAATGGAAGATCAACGCCTTTGTCGAGATGGAGTTCCAGTAGGGCATATGTATATTCCTTTGCAAGGATCAGCAGCAGCAACACCAAGCTGTTCACAGCTCAACATCATTACATGGGTTTCTTTTTCATTCACAAGTGCTGGGTCACTTTTGAGAGTGCAGGTGCAATCCCGTTCTCAGCAGAAATGTTGGCCTTGTGCCAGCACACAAGAGAGTGTAAGACAATGTAAATGCCACAAGGTTGTTCATGTGTGAATGAAAGCTGGCTCTCAAAGGAAAGAAGATTGGCACTCTGGAGGGGCCCTAGCAGATCAGAAATCGTAGAACATCGCAAGGGTTGCTTTATTCCTCTGATCTGACCTTGGCAAGGGTTACTTCCAGCCAATGCAACATTGGCTACATGGCTAAGGATCTTAACACACATTTGAAAAGGGGCAAATGTAAATTTGTGCATTCCCCATGGAGAATACTTCAACCAGGCACTCACCTTGATCGTGCCATTCAAAAGGGCCCATCGACACACCGCGTGACCCATTGTAGACAGGTGGTGCATCAATAATGAAGCCAGGGATGCCAGGGGTGGCAGGGGCTGCATCAGAGATATTTCGATTTGGTGCAGAGCCCGCCCCTGTGCCCTTGTCAAGGGTGTCTTCTACCCGCATGGCTACTCCAGGCAGCAACGAAGGGTGCAGCTGCCTGCACAACAACGGAACTGAGCTGGCCACAATCTGAGTTCAACCAGTTCCTCAGGGAAGTCTGGCACTTGGGATACACGGTAGACCATGCACCCGACATCAAAGTTTCCTCATCAACGTTGCAGCACTGTCAGGTCCCTGTAGACCATTTGAACGTCTGCCTGCTGTCTGATGATCTGAACTCTGAAGACATATGACCTGATCTGTGTGCCATATTCATGCTGCTGTTGTGGATACAGTAAGTTGTCATTATTGCAATAGCGGGGTACCTCTCATCCACGATGCATCATCCACGAACCCCAATGATTGCACCCGACCAAAAAACACAGAACATGGTCCCTCCACTGCGCAGTGACAGGGCAGTGACAGGTACAGTTCAATTTGCAGCCGTTCATAGCAGAGGGAACAGTCTCGTATGCTGCTGCTGAGAACAGTGTGCCCACTGCATAGTATGTTTCCTTTGCGTTTCCGATGTTTCATTGTCCTTCACCGCAATGTCAAGAAACCGCAACCACCGAACAGCCGAAGGGGAAGGGCAGCGGAAGCGCTTCCCGCAGACTACAACGCGCCACGAGATCAGACCTCAAAGCGCAAAACAATCGGGTCTCAAAGAGCCGCAATCTGCGGACCCCCTTCGCCAATCGACAGGCAAGTCGCCCGAGGCCATCTGATCTAAAGGTGGCTGCGCGCCCGACATCTTGGATGCCATAGTCGCGGACCTTGGCCACAAAACCCTGCCCTGCTCGCAATGTGCCCATGAGGGCAACGCTCTGCCAACGCACGCCCACCGTGCAATGCGATGGGCGCCCGGCGAGTCTCTTCCGTCACGGAACGGAGTTTACGAAGCGCACGCTCAAGCACTCAGCGCCGCATCGTTCGGCTTCTTTTGCTCGCGGCGGCTCTGTGAAGCAAGCAGCTGAAAAGGAACACAAGCCTTCCTGAACGGCGGCGCGTTCTTGCGTGCACGGGACTCCAGCTGTGCAACAAGTCTCTCAAAACACACGCACACACACACAAGAAAGCCACACAAAGCGGCGGGCAAGCGGGCGGCACCTCAGCTCAGGATCGATGGATCAACGGGGGGAATGGAAGGGGATAAGACGCGCAGCGGCGCGGCCACCCATTACCTGCCCCCTCTGAGCCGCGCAATCCGCTCTGCAGCCGCGCGGGCGGGGGGCGACGGCAGATAGCACAGCGCGACCCGGCACTTTTCCGCGCGTCTGGGCTGCATCAGAAGCCGGCTTTGGTTCCAGATGTGCGCTTCCAGTCCGCCGCCTCTAAGGGCAGTCGCAAGGCGCAATCGCAGTCGCCCATCCGGAAGGAGACGCGCCGCGTCGCTGCGTTTGCATTTCGGCGAAATGGATTGTCGCTGCGGGGGGCTGGTCTGCGAGCAACTCACCGTGGCGCGTGCGTGGGAGTCCAGGGCACGCCTGCCGTTCCGGCGCGATCCCTGCGCCGCTCAGTCGCTCCGGAAGGGTAGGGCGCCCATGCGCGTGCGCGTCACGGCGCCGCGGCACGGGGCGACGGCGGCACTTCGCGGTAGGCCGACCGTGGATGGGGTGTGCATGAATAGGCAGTGGTGGCGGGGACACGCAGTAGTAGTGCGGGATGAGCGTTGAAAATGTCCTCCCAACTTGTGGAATGAAACTGGATTATTGCCTACCCTTATTGATGGGCCATCCCAGTGTGTGTGGGCCTTCCCGGTTGAGATGTTGCCGTTGGACTCGATTGCGGGCATCGATGGTCCACAACACGACACGGACAGGCACCGTCGAACGAACTCGAGTGCAGCCTAATAGTGTCGCGACAACTTGGTCACAACGGGGACTTTGTTGCAGAGGCTCGAACACTCATCAACTACTCGAGTACGCAGCCTTCCTTTCCAAAACAGCATCCATGACCTTCATTTTAGTTGACCATATGCTTAGCAGCTTCAACCAAAGCACTATGCCCAGTGTTTAGTGCCTCGCTTAATCAAAAATCCCGGCCACTTTAAAAAGGAAGGGAGGGTGGGAGGAATACTAGAGTAGTAGCCATCGTTAAGCCCTCCCTCCACTGGCAGTGAGGCAGCCAGTTGATCCAATGCATCCCTATCAAGGCTTTTCACTTGGAACCAGGCCATGGCTGTCCTTGACCGTGCCTACAGTGTGCAAGCGCCCTGCCCGGATTCAAATACCACCATTCAAATGCGGCCATTCAAATGGACCAATAGGTCCAAACACCCCAAACACCGGCTGTCAGGAACAGACTCCGCCCAGCTGAGTCCGTCACTAGTGCAGCGCAAGTTGCCGGCGCATCTCAAGCGCCCACCCGCATCCCCTGAATCGGAAACTCATTAACTGCCGTGAGCCCATGAGCGATGCCTGGCAGGCATTGCCTGCTGACCTTCCTCCAACTTTGACGCACCCCAACTAAAATTTGACGGCGTTTAATGTTGGCCAACTTAGCCAACGTCCCACTAATGGGCAAGATCACCTTTGCAGAAGAAGGTAGATTATCAACCGCTCTCCTCGGTGCCCACATTGGTTGATGTGGGAAGCTGAGTGGGACGTTTGATTGTTGCGATTGGATTGGGGAACAAACATTTCGAATCTGAGAGTCAACCTGCCCGACATGGTTGATGTACAGACTGTTGATTTGGATTGAGTGCCAGAAAAAATATGCAGCGGACATGAGAGCAACTGCGGTCATCGCCAGGCAGTGCTGAGTATCAGAAGACAGTCGAGTTGATGCGCTGGATGTGCGGCACTTAACTGCGTTGCTGACAGTGATATCAGAGTCCAAATCCTTCTAGAGTCGCAGTGCGTGCGATATGTAGGTGGACATGCCGAAGGCGGATCTTCTAAGACTGAGTCACTCTCAGCAGAAAAACAGGGCCCGGATGCGATGCTATTGGAGACATAGCGATAGCTGCCATGTCCGAAATAGAAGACTACCATAGTTTGAGTTGCTACCCACGTTGTTGCTGAATGTGGAGAGCTTAGGATGCAATCTGATTGCTCACTTCGACATTCACAAAACGGTAGACCAGGACAAGAGAATGGGACATGGACCCGACGGAACTGTCATGCTGCTATTGCGCTGTAAAGAAAGACATACATTTGTTGCCCAACGATGCTCAATGCATCACAAGGATGTGTGCCAGGCACCACATTCAAATGTTGTGCCTGACACACACCGTTGTGATGCATTGAGCATATCATGGGGCAACAATTGAATTCGACTACGATTGCGTATTCAGAATTGGCAACCTTGCATAACGAGCAACAGGCGGGATGCATGTATCGACCTGGAAAGGGCAATTCACGGGCAACGCAACCACAGAATGTCGCGTGACCACTGGCAGCTCTGTGAGTTGAATGCGTGTGCTCAGGGGAGCGTGTTAGCGATGCGAGGCGCAACCCTTGGCTGCAAGGAGGCGCACCGACCTTGCAGCGCATTGGCCAAAATTGTTAGTACATTCTGGCATGTTTGTCGTGGGCGACAACATATAACATCTCAATCTAGCAATGCGCCTCGTCGACGTGGCCGCGTTCCCTCCGCCATGAGATCGGCAGCCCACAGGCCCCGGCAGCATACGTTTCGGTGGGTGCATACATCGGCACATCTAACCAAGATCCACGGAATGCAAGCATATAAGTTCGCCTTGGATTTGCCTTGCTGATTGCTGATTGAGGTTCCACGGAGGGCTGCCGCATTTCATGCAGAATCAGGGCGTTGCCAGTGTGCTTGGAAGCCCCGCCATCATTGAATGGAACAGCAGAAAGTGTCCAACGAAGCTACAACACCAATTCTTTAATATGTACACTCTGCCCAGCAAGCATCTCGGCATGAGTCTTGTCAGACTCTGTCAACATGTGCAGCAAACCCTGTATTGCGGGGGCACGCTCTTCGACATAAACGATCTTTTGTGGCATATTCCTACAAGAGTGCCCATGTGAGAATCCAGCTGAATTTAGAGGGTGGTCCACCCATCCTCATCGTCATGACAGGCCTTGTTGGCAACGCCCGCTTCACTATCGTCGATGTCGAAATTGGCCATTGACTCAGCTACTTGGTGCAGTGCAGTCAGGCCCGTGAGGTCCTCCAGAAACTTAGGCTCCTACACAGCACCACAATTCATACAATCATTCAGCAGCAGGTACTGCTCAAAGCTTTCGAATCTTTTCAGTGGTGCACAACAGCCTGCCGAGCTGCAGCAGCGTTCCAACCAAACGATGATAACGTGTAGATACGTGGAGGGGGACTATTTAGGCATCCCAGGTGGTTGAGCACCACTTGCGGCACAATCAGCGGGTGTTTCAATGTTTGGTAGCAATAATGAGAGTCGATCAATCGTGATAGCTGTCACATCCACTACACTCGCCATCTCAGCTTGCAACAGCACGCCGGTACACAATATGACCTACACAGCAAGCCATCTACACCATTGCCGTCCGCAACGACGACTCCCCCACTCAGGGCGACGGCCGCCACCAGCCAGGGCGCATGGCACGATGTTTGACAGGTTGAGATTTTACCTGCAGAGATCTCTGCACGAAGTCCCAGCCTTCTGCCAAATATCCCTCGACGACCGTCAATGAACAGGCTGTGCATTGGCTGAATGCCCTGCCTTCCATGCACACCTGCAGGTACCCAGAGATCGCCATTTAGTGGACTTAACAAAGGCACCCTCGCTGAAGCTGAAAAATGGCAGCAGCTCGCGGATTTCAAGCGCACCGATTCTTGGCATGCTTGTGTGTACAATCCATTCGAGGTGCAGGGATTCCACCATATGCTAATGCTGCCTGCAGTGGTTTGCAACATGCACCACAGCATTCACCTGCGAGAAACCACTCAGCTGGCCTCTTATCATGTGGGGAACCCCTCCCAAGGGACCATCTGCTGATGAGCTTGTTGCATTCGATGCACTGGGTGAACGGAGTGCTGGCGCATGAATTCCTTCAGGGTGCTGGATCATGGCAGCAAGGAGCTCGACCCCCAGGGAAGATGCAATTGGCGCGAGACCTGTGCGCCCAGCAATCACGTTTACATGTCCACTCCTCCAAGCAGCCTGCAACTGGGGGGTTCGTTAGGCAGATATGGACATGACACAGTGTGGGCCGCATACGAAACTAACAGGGTGAACAGCGCAAAAGGCAACACATGCAAGAGTGGTCGCTATTCCGTTGTTGAAGTCGAAGAAAAAAGTCTTTTTGGGAGAACAAAGTCCACGTGTGTGGTGAGCACTGCTCATCAAATTTTCTTCAAACGTCAGCTAACAACCTTGACCCTGAATCGTACCTGGCCTAGCAACTGTGCATTGCTGATCAAGGGCACGGTCAGCTGTTGAATTGAGAGGTGCAACCACGTCATTGCAAAAATAACACCCCAGCCGCCTGTCAGCAGTGCCTCCAGTGGTGCCTGGAGCGCTTCCATGACGCATCACAAGGAAGTTATCAAAGCCCAGAGCAATATCGATTGCAATCTTATTGAACGCCGTACACAGCACGCTCGGCAGCCAGCGGGCTTCCCGTGTGTCTGTCAGGAGGAAAACAACATCATGCGACATCACCAAGTCATGAAGTTGCTCAGTTGCCTGCAACAGCAACCACAGACCAGCGCCCCTTCTCTCAACTCAATTCCTCAGTTTCAAAGCTATCGGCAGACATGCACCATGACCCAATAAGCGATAGTCTCAATCCTCAAGCCAACCAATGCAATTTGAACGCTGTATTGAAAATTCAACATCTCAATACTCACACTCCCCTACTGCACTACCTGCAGTAGCTCCGGGGCACAAGCAGGCGCAGTCCTGGGTCACATAGTCATTTCTCTTGGCTGCTTGTGCCGTGCATTCGCTTTCATACTTAGGCTTTCAGAGATGGGAACGCTTTGCTGAAAGCTGGGTCATATGCTTCGACATTCTTGCGGCGAAGCCAAGCCAAGGCTGCACGATAGGCATCATCCAGAGAATGAACATGCATCCTTGTGCACATCATTTGGGGTCAAAAATGCTCAATTATTCGAGATTCCTTGTAACGACGCTTCAGCTCAGGTTCACAACATACACGTGCACCTGAGGCAATACTTGTTTCAGTATTAGGCACCCAAAAAACTCAGAAACACAGGAGCCCTCCCCTGGAAAATGACTTGTGCCAGTCATGCTTGCATGTGCGGACGTCAAAACTCAAGAACCCGGAAGCAAATACCAGCATGCAGCGGCGTTCCTCTCACCTCCTTGAGGGATTGGGACTCTTCTTGTGATGTAGCAGGGTGTCCTGGCATTGGGATTGTCAGCATGACGCCCTTCACTTCCAAAGCAGGGAATATCCGTTTCAGGTGCTGTGCTGCACACTCTGCCTTCGGCTTTCCCCCTTCCAGACAATCCTCAAACTCGTACAGTGACTGCCTGGCTGGATTTGAAAACGCCACGCGCCCAGAGTCCACGCAGGTAATGTGGCGAACCCCCCACCCTACCAGAGTCCGGGACACGGCACAACCGAGGGTGCCCATGCCTGGGGAAGTTGCAAACCGGGCAATGCTTACATGCAATGTGTTGCAGGGTGCGTGCTGCCTTAAGAAAATCCAGTTCTCATGCGTCGGCGATCACTGAATTAGCATTCAGCAGTTACGCTGCACATCCAAACGCTCAGGAAGACTACTAGGGAAATGCTTGGGACGGCAGTAAAGTTCAACCGCAACTTCCGCTATTGCGATAAAGTGGGAAACAAGGAAATACGCCACTGCATATACGCAGGGCGTCTTGCATCTCAGCTCCTCATGATGAATGCAACGGTGTGGCAATTGCCAGCCAAACCCAACCAACAGCAGGCAGAATGCTGTTGCCTGGAGAACGCTCAAATATCGGACTCTATTGTTGTCTTTGGATGTGAGCCACATTGCAATCTTAAAACCCCAATCCCAGCAGGCTGATCTTTCTGCTCAACAGCTGGTCAGGGAACACAGTGCCACATGCATGGGGAAGAGGACTGTGTGCAGCGGACAGGTAACCTGGCTTGATTTTCTTGCATTGGGGATTTGGCAACGTCATCGCGACGGCCTATGCAAACTGTCCGCGTAGTGAGCTCCATACGAGGTACACCTTCACCAATAGTATTTTGCATGGACGTCATATCGCTGCACCACCATAGCTGTACACAATCATTTTGTCTTCATCATAAACTGCGCCTCAACACCAGCACTGCTTTTCAGAGGTATAACACTGCAGAAAGGATGAGTGGCACACAAAGTTGCATACCCGACAGCATTCAGCCTTATCATATCCAGCTGAACAGCTGTGAATCGCATCAGCAGGGCTCAATTTAGACACCGTTATCTGCATAATGGCAGCTGGCACACGCAGCCAATGTGCTCGCAGGTGGTGGCAATGCCGGGACCTCCTCACTAGCGACTGTGATGCTTACTGAAAATACAGCAACAACCAATACTTCGTTTCAGCCACAGTGAAGGTGCACAATCGATGGGAAAATCCTCCGCAAGGTCTGGTTGTCCCTTACCCAGCAGCAGGCACTTCGTATCTGCTATTTTCCTGGTGTCCAGATTCGGAGCCGCTCTCCACAGCATCAGGCGCAGGTTAAGATCGACAGCCTGCTCTGCCATCTGAACAGGATCAAAGTACGACCTCAAATTCGCAAGCCTGGCGATCAAAGACACAAGGCCAATGAGTAACACATTATCTGTCACTGGAGATGGGGAGTCGTGTTGGAGAAGGACGCTAGAGAGGAACCGCATTAGGACAAGGATCTTGTGACATGCAGTCCAGGATCTTGATGACCAGCTTCACATAAAGCATAGGTCACATACAGAGCAGAAGATTGAGACCTGTGTAACCACACAGGTACTCAGAGTCAAAACTGGACCAATTGTTGAACTGCCAGGTCCCTATATACAGCAACGAATGCATCGCCACTCTCGACAGCCCTCAGTGCCAACATTACAATGCTTGACTCGTGTGGTTGTGTTTTGCGTTGACAACACAACACACCTTGGTGCAGATTTCCCTGCTTGATTTGCCTCCCATCCCGAAGCATGTTGGACACAGTTATCCACATCGTTGGGGATGGCCATGATGTTGACATCCAGAACAATGCTGGCACAGGGATCAGAGCGGCCTTGGCGCTCACGAATGCACACCACCTGGAAGGACGAGAGACACATAAGAATGAAAGAGTTAGTCTTGGAGAAATGCCTTTCACATCATTCAACTGCACTGCACTTGGTTGGTGTCTGCGAATCCCAATGAACCTGTCAGCCAATCAGTTCACAATAAATTGCTGTGCAGCCAGTGTTTGGCCCCAAATAATAAATGCCCCAGTTGTAAACATGCTAAGCGTCACATCATACTGAGCTACCATCGCCATGAATCACCCTGTCATTGCTGGCTCTGCAAAATGATGCAAATCATCAGAGGCACACCAGAAGTACATCTCCAGTCTTCAGGCCCCTCACCCTCACAGATGTGCAGGTCCATCTCTTTGCCACAAGTATCAGTACATTTCGCAGAATCCAGCCAGGATTTGCAGGCAGATGGCAGGGGTCACTCATTGCAACCACCATCTTCTTGTCAGGCCACTGCAGATCCCCAGGGCCTGCAGAAGATGATGTCAAAGGCACAGGTTGCACACTTCCCGCAGCACCATTTGGCGGTGTTAGCATCCAAACTGGAGCATTTGACTTTGCAGTTTCTGAACCTACAAAGCTGCCCATGCCTCTCCACTCATCGCAAGCAGTGGCGATCTGCAGGTCACACAACCAGCCACGGACCTGGATCGAGTCCTGAATGTTGCTTTGACAATGTGTCAGTGGATTGATGACAAAGCAAGCTTGAAGACGCTTGAAGGCGCTGATGGAATGTGTTGTCTGGAATTGATAATCGCAACCAGGCCTTATGAACACCATTTCTGATCGCTTGCCTTGAAAGAACAGTCTGCAAGTCAGCATGTTGCAAAATTGTATCAAACAACATGGATCCATTTCCAGTTGTCAGGATTTAGTCTTAGTTGCACTGATTGTATCTGAAGGCTGCAACATGGCATCTACAAACTATGCTTGCACATAGTTTCCAGTCCGTGTGTGACAACATCAAAACACCATATTCCCTCACTATTATTCGAGAATTGTGGGCAGTGCACACATCGGCGAACAGCCTATGTGGTGAAAAGAAAGATGTGAAAGGAAAGCCTGTAGGGTCCAACCAATGCTGCACTATGCACGTGTTGGGATTCATTGTAGAGACATCTTTGGCCGCCTGTTCCCTGCTCTGGGCAGCATGGAAGAAACAGGCACATACTGGTGCGCTGTCATGGAATACCCTTCGACTACTTTCTCAGGACAAAACCTTGACACACAGACAGGATTCAAGCATCGACAATCAGCAAATCAGGTTTCAACCGATGGACGATATGGTTCATACTGCATGCTCAGCTACCAACAAAAGTGTTCAGCAGCTGCAAGTTACTGGCACCCAAGGATGCTAACTACCAAGGGTGCCATATGTATCTTGAATTGGTGCCACTTAGCCACAAATGCCAATGATGCAACAGAATTCTAGAAATGCTTAACTACAAACCTGTTGTGCAGCAATTCCACAGCCCAACATTGATTCATACATTCTGGGACAGCGCAAGCGGGAGTCAGGGGAGCAATGGTGCAAGACAACAATCACCTTGCCAGCAACTGGCTGCTCAAAAGCAGCTTCTAAAGATTGTGTTGTGGCTGTGAAGGCCTGCAGGGGCTTCAAGGCTGGAAAAGCAAACCTGCCAAACAAGAAGCTGCACAAGTCAGTGGCTGTTGGGGGCATTCAGCCCAGCAATGTCAAGCCCACAACATATGTCCCATTGGAATGATGTCTGCGACTTGTGGTGGGCCTCATCACAACTGCATAGAACCCAAACGCTTGCACCCCATGCCCATTCACCAGTAGCGATATTGGTAGTTCTTCAGGTCGGCATATGCGAGCAGCAGAAACCGGCACAGCAGCGATGGGTCTGACTCTGCACCGCCGTTGCAGATATCTTCCCAAATTTGCGCTGCCACCTATAAAACAGCACACATCTCTATATTTCTCATGCAATCCTCTCCAATGTGTCACTACCACACAAGATATGCACATGCAATATACTTCTGCTGTTTCAGGGTACAAATGCATAAGAAACTGACAGGCAGGTAGGGAAAGCACACATATCAATATGGTACTCTCGATCGTGAATCATCAGCAACAACAAAAGCGAACAAACAACCAATTGGCAAGGTCACAATGTGCAGAGGGGCAGCAAGGGCTATATCTGTCATCGATCGTCAAAATCAGTTTTCGGCGGTGGGCCTTACCCGATGCACAGCCTCAGCTCTGTCAAAGGTCTTGAAGCTCTCTAAAGAGTTCAGAAGGTACAGAACACCAGGGACAGTGTGATATCCCTGCCAAGCAGAAAAATCATAAGTCTCGTTTCAATATGAGTTAGGACACCTCCTATGTGTGCAAGTTGATTGCTGCACTGCACTCATGGCCATGCACGCCTTGCAAACCCAACCTAATAATGCACACTTTGCTTGCTGAATTAGAAGATGGCCCCTTACTTATGCACAACACCCTATGCCTGGCCAGATGTTGACTGCTTCACACCCACATCAACAGCAATCGTCACAGCAAAGCATGGCTGCAGGATTACCTGCCTGCTTGATGCCTGCTGGGCCCCAAAAGATTCTGCATCGAGTTCAAGCTGAGAGCCAACCTGGGCATGGCGCGCTGGGCAGATGTACCCTGTACCCAGACACAGGAAGGGCCTATTTCAACATGTGTAAAGGCTGCTGTCATCGCATGTCAGACGTTGACAATGTGCAACATGCAGAGCATCAAGGATCTCAATCGACTTTCACGTGTGAGGTACTGTGGCAATGATGACTCCCATCACAGCTGATCAGTAGCATAGTGCAGAACACAGCTTGATACAGCAGCCTCAGTGCCCCTGCACTAAATGCTGGGGGGGTCCATTCCATCATGTGGCTTTCCGCAATGTTTGAACAGAAATGAAACCTCTCTGCTCAATGTATTGGCTCAATAATCAATGGACAGGAAATCCACTTAGCTCCAAACAGAAATGAGGCCACATCAGGCACACGACGTTATGGCTGGGGCCAATTTCCCCTGCAACCTTGTCTGCAATTTGTCAGCAACTCCTTGCAAGAAACTTAGCAATCAGATCAAGCAATGCAGACTGACATTGAATTGCAGGAAAGTGTCCTGGTACGCAGCTCAGTCCACCAGCACGGCCATGCACCAGCAGCACAATTGCTGATGAATTTTATTGAGCCCTACATTTTCAGCAGACCTTATCTCTCTACGTACATAGTGTTGCTCGTGCCATGGACCATTTGGGCCATTTGACACCACCAGCAAGCCCTCATGCATCCCCTAAGCTCAAACATGCTTTTTTGCTGTCTGATGCAGAGCACCGGGGCTCAAAAACGAAAGTTTGCCTGTTGTACTGGAGGAGTATGGTTGCAGCAAAGTGTCTGGGAGGCAATCAAATCAGCGGTGCACACCAGTAATAGGAACGGGCTCCTCTGACAACTTCAGCTCGTCTAGCTTCTTCGTGCCCAGCTCTCTCCAAAAGCTAGCGTCGACAGAGCTCTGCAGCCACAGTGGCACCAGCAAATTGAATTGGCCAATCCATTCCCCACGCAACGTTGCAGATTAAGGGGGCTGAGGCAGGGATAATGAATTGGCAATCAAAGTGTGGGAACTGCTTGTCTGAAAGCAGTTGAGAGCAAGTGGTACGCATCTTTCGTTACAGCTCTTGCTGTGGACGCAATGTCCATCCCAGCCCCTTCAGTAAATATGGTAATTGTGACGAACCATACATGGAATCCTATTCCGATCCCCAGCGCCATTTTCCAGCCCCCTTTTGCAGCGAATACCGACAAACTTATGTCGTGCCTTTTGCCGGCACATGCCTGCCGCGGTGCGGCATTGGCTCTTGCGAAACTAGCGAGGTGCCCATATCCAATTGTGCTCAGATCATTGCAGTGCATTTTAGCGACGTCACCACCGCAGCACTTCGCGCCCTTTTGCCTTCTGACCTCCGTATCTCCGTTGAAATTGCAAAAGTTGCGCTGCGCTGGGGGGTGCCGTGGCGGGCGCAATGCGCACAGCGGCCTGACACACCTGGAGCGGCGCGAACCGAATCATGCGGGCCGCTTCCAACTGAGAAGCGTCGGCGTGCCTTCCGAAGGGCGGGAGAGGGCACGCTGCACGCAATGGGGAGCATACACAGCCGTATGTTGGGCGCGGGCTTGCTGAAGGAAACTGCTGTGAATTGGGTTTTGATTCCACCTGTCCAACCTTTCCTCTTGCGTAAGCGGAGTGCTCCTCTCTGCCGCCATGTCTATTACTAATGCAACGGAAAATAGTCCTTTCCTGCCACAGTCTTTCTATACGACAGTGCCTTCAGGACTGTTGTTTCCTTTGACAGTGACAGCTACTATTTTTGTGACAGTAGTCGATGCACAGTAGCCTACAATGCGATTTTGTCGAAACTTGAAACACTGGGCCGACCCATCTAAGAACTACCTCCTCTAATGTTTCCGTGTTGTAACTGCAGCGATAGTACATTGCAATGTACACGCTATTGTGTGGCACTTACAGGGCGCCAAGGGAGGAGGCAATAGAGGAAGCAAGCTTGTGCTTCCCAATCAGCTTCATCTGAAGTATTGTGCTAGGTGGAGCGATGCCTGCTGCTATTTCTGCTCAATTTCTAACATCTACATTCAGAACATCTTGTTGCATTTGTTATCTTCTGATAATTGCAGAAAAGGATATTAGTCGCATCTTCTTAATGCATATTGACACTGACTGATTTGCTGTGTATGGATTTCTTTTTACGTTTATCATCTTCATGGAGAGCAGCGTCTGCTGCAAAATACCTCTCAAATCATCTCAATTGGGCTGCTAATCAAACGTGGCCTCTCCCGCTTGCTAACGAAGCCTCTTCCGCAACGCCAGTGCTCCGACCCAGAGCGTTGTTCCGCGCGCAGGTGCACATTGTCCACATTGTGTCTTGTCAAGAAAGGTGCGTATTATTCCGGGAACACTGTGCACATGTCTTTGCGCGGGTGCACATTGAATGTACTCTATATGCATTGCAGTTCTCGAATGTGTCAAACGGCAACAAACAGCAGCTGTTTGCGATTGGAGGTTAAGGTTTGGGACTCAGCAGTCCGGCGCTGTTCCAGTACCAATTGTTACAAAAGTTGTTCGGTACCAGATCCACAATGGTGGCCCAGAAAGGTAGTGGCCAAATGCAAACAGCTGCCTTTGTTGTGTCGTAGATCGATCCTGAATGAGGGAAGAAAGTACGCCACAATGGGAGAGGCCTGTTCAATGCTCGGATGGAATTGTAGTGCTTGCTTTGAAAATGCTGCGAGCAGTTCCCAAGCGACAGACAGCGGAAGCATGCCTTTGAGCAGCAAATGCCGCTCGCTTCCAAGTCCACAGACGGTAGTTTCCATGTTTGGTCACATGCCGAGCTCGGCAACTCTTACCCACAGACTGTGGGCCACAGTCATTCCACAGTCTATTAGAACTGTGGAAATGACCAGTTGGAATTAATATTTCCATATTTTCGATTTCCAATAGGACCGGAAGCCAACTGCAATCGGTATAGCGAATCGCTGGTGAAGGTGCATCTCGGCGACTTGGACAATGCGGCCAATGCATGTCCTCCAGATTTCGACGGCCAAGCAGGGCGGCGCGACATGAAAGTTCGTCATCAAATTTGAGTGGCAGGGCGACGTAGGCTCTGTGCGCGGTGCCCACATCCTGGTCCCCATCCGGCAAGCACGTAACTCACGCATCCACCAACATGCATGTTGCTCTTATGCAGATCTGTATAGATGCATAGATCTGCATCTAGATGTTGCAGGGAAGTTGTGACTGGCACCAATTCAGTGCGCCCAAATTTGTCCCCGTCACAGATCCATCCATATCGTCTGCCACAAAATGACAACGCTGTAAGGACTCACTATCGATTTTGGTATGCTAGCATCTGACTTAGATTGATGCTGGCATCGGACCAACACCGCCCTTCTTTCTGAGAGTCCATAATTTTGTTATTGCTGGCATGACGCAGCAACATTGCCTGTCAGCATTATGCAGCGCTCATCTCACAAGGGGGAGCATCGGGATGCGTAGAAGGCGAAACATTTTTCAAGCGAATAGCCAGCGTTGCAGGGTTATAGGGTTTGCGAACTGGGATGTTTGAAGACATGGCAGGTCCTGGACACTGTCGACTGAGACATTTGGTATCCCTCATTGACCGTTGGGCACTTGAAAGAGGTTTTTGAGGAAGCTATGAGTTTTTGCAACTGATCAGCGGCGCTTTGGACCTCTTCTTCACTTGTGTCTGCTTTGCAGCAATTGCATAATTTCTTGGCGCCGATGATCTATTGCCCCTGTCAAAAATTCGACTTTTATTGTATTGAAAACTACGCAATGCGGTCCCTAGCAGAAATAAACAATTTTAACTCGGTAACTGCGCATGCTTTATTCCAAAGGTACCATCAACGGCGCATCGTCACTTCTTTCTGAATATTATCAAAGAGCCACCCAATTCGCATAGTTTTCTGACTTTATACGAAATATATCAGAATGGGACCAAATCGTGCCAGGCTTGGTAAATACGGCTGGATCCAAACAAAAATACGCAACAGTACGCGTATTTTGGCAAAGTTTAAAATACGCGCATTTTTAGACGTATTTTGGGTCAATTATACTAAATGCCAATTAATTAGGCCTTTTGAAGGTTGAGACCTGCCAGTTGCATCCCATGGCCCCGCGACCTGCGCGTCACGAGGGAGCTGGGCGTGCTGCGGATGCGGCTAGGTGTGAATAGCGATGTCGAATGTCCCAAACACCGCAAAGCACTTCGCGGATGTCACAGTCAAACGCGGTACGTGCGTGTACTGTGGCGCCGCTAAGACGGGTGGCGCTGAGCGCCAGTGTTGCCGTCTGGCGGGCATCACAGGATCTGGGGTGGCTGCGTGCTTTGGGAGCGCGCTGGACGCTGTGTAAGTCTCAGGAGATTGTACGCTTGCAAGAGCAGCGCTGTGGAAGGCAACGGCGCAACGAAGTTGCGAATATGGGCAGCAGCATCGATCAGTCTGCCAAGCGACATGTATGCTGATTGATTGAATATGCATGTCATTGAGGTTGTAGTTGTGAAAACTTTTGCCGTATTTTTAGGCTCTTCTTATGTTCAAAATAAAGATACCTGGTAATAAGCGTCTCCTACCGCATTGTTGTTTTAAGCTGTATCCGTATTTCCCAAGCCTGAATCGTGTTAACTGAATCGCGATTTTGGCGACATTATTCACCACTAAACTATGTGTGATAGTAACGATATGTAAAATAAATGACCGAAACTCTGTTGAATGCGGCATAATGTGGAAGTCAGAAAGGGGTACTAGACATAAGCAAGCCTGGAAGGCGGCAGCCCCCCCTCCCCCCCCCCTCCTCCCCCTCACACTGAAGGTGTGGAGACACTGTGCACAGAAACTAGTGGACCTCTGGGTGTGAGAGTATCAATTACACCGAGTGCATTCATGGTACAGCCCGTACTGCAGCAATGGTCATTCGCCAACTGCTATGATCGGCGCGATTTCATCATCACACCGAACGTTGCGTGTGCTCAAACTACTTGCTGATCCCTGCGGCTCTAGCTTTTGCTAAGATCCCAATCCCTGCTGCATAAAATGCGCCCCACCGTCCGGTTTGACTTGGTTGAGGTTGACATGTTAATTCACAGACAGAAGGCGAGAGCCCCCTGTGCCTTTCTCGGGAGACATTCCACAGATCAAAACATAGAGCTGGAATTAATGGTGCAGCGTGTGACTACCGCAACAGCCACTTTGTATATCCTCCGCGTTCCCCGAGGCAGAGATTGCGAGAACAATGCGTTGGGGGGAATCACTCACAGGATAACATCAACGGCCAAACTTTCGGCTTGCTAACAAGCGGTTTCAAGGTGTGCCAGTAGCCGGTGGTGGGTGTGTGGCGAGGCGGGGAGGGAATGGGGAACCTTTGTTGGTAAGGGCGCACAACGTGCGTTGGGGACTCATCAAAGTGCAGCACAACCTTGTGCCAAACGTATCACAGTGTAGTCGATCACCACGGCATGGCCACTGATTGTGGCCAAATACACGTTCCTGGTTCAACAAGCATCACAAAGTTTTGAGCAAAAATTTGCCCCCAATGCCCACATTTTCAAGACTGAATTAACAGCAAACTGGGGCCCTGACCAGGAATGAAATGGATCCAGGCCCTAAAATACAGGGTACCCGAGTTCAAGGGGTACTATCGTAGCCCGAACTGATTGAGTAACATTAGCAGCTGGACGCGTTAAGAGGTGATGAGACATTGGGAACGGAGTTTAAGGACACTGATGAACGCACCGGATATAAAGGGACATGTTTCCTGTTGCCCTTTGATCCGTTGTTGTTAGCCGTTGCCATGTACTCTAGCCCGCGGTCCCCAGCCAGGGGTCGGTACCCTTCAACCCTGCCCGCCTTCATCAGTACTTCCATCCACACCAGTCGATTGTGGCCCTCGCGCAGCTCCTGAAGACCCGCCATTCGGGTGAAAAACGCCGTCCCACCCGTTGCCATCAACTCACGGAGGGTGGTCGCCTTCCGCGGTGGTCCAGGCGACCCCGGAAAGCCACCGGCGCTCCTTGGGCGCCGAAGCCGCACGTAGTCGCGCCTGAGGGGCCGTCGCGGGTGCTGCAATCCCGGACGCAGTCTGCCAAGAAAATTAGGCCAAGACCAAGAGGCGCCCAGTGAAGACGCAAGGAGGGGGCCCACGGGCGCTGGGCGGCATGTGGCTGTGCCGCATGGCCCTGGCCACGGTGCAGATCAGCTTCGCCCTCGGCGCGGTGTACTTCAAGCTGGTGGTGGAGCACGAGGACGCCCGGCACAGGCTCAACCCGGTGCTGTTCGCGTTCGTGCGCGAGGCCGTGGCGGGCAGCGTGATGTGCCTGCTGGCGTACGCCACCACGGGCGCGCGGCCCAAGAGGTCCGACGTGCCCACGCTGGCCGTTCTGGGGGCCTTGCTGTACTGCAACCAGGTGCGAGCAGCGCTCGCGGCGTTTAGGCCCGGGTAGGAGGGCAGTTGGTTGTGGTGGTGTGGCGTTCTTTGTTTTGTCGAAATGCGTGTTAAAATTCGCGAAAGACAGGTCATGCAGTGGAGCGCGCTTCCTGAGCAAGGATGCAGCGGGTCTGTTCCGCTTTGCAGTGCTTTGCAGCGAGTTTTGGTGTGGGGTGTGTGGGTGGGAGGGGAGGGGTGGGGGAGCGTGTTCCGTTGCGCCGTGTTCGCCAAGACGTCTCCCTTTGTCGTTTGCTAGCTGGCGCCAGGCAGGACCAGTGGCGATGAATCTTGGTTGTGGGGATGGCGGTAGGCAGCGCGCTGTGGCAGCATTTCCACGCAACCAGACAAGATTCCGTGCTCCCCGCTTTTCTCCCTGGAGCGGAAAACTTACCCCTGCGTGATGCAACGGGAAGGCGCGTCCGCTGGGGCGCCCGCCCTCGCCGGCCATCCGTGCAGGCTGCTGACTCGCCTCCTGGCTGCCCCCACGTTTTCCCATCAGCTGTTCTACATCCTGGGCATGGAGATGTCGGGCGTGGTGGTGGCATGCTGCATGCAGCCCGTCATCCCCGTTCTCACGGCGGCCCTGGCAGTGGGGATGGGCAAGGAGGAGCCGTCTGTGCGAAAGCTGTCCGGGATCTTCCTGGCCTCCAGTGGGGCAGTGTTGATGGTGCTGGGGGGATATGGAGGGCCGGAAGACTCTGTGGACGACAGGCAGAGGGCGCTGGAAGGAAACCTCCTGCTGGCGCTCAATGTCGTGTCCATGTCCCTCTATTACGTGCTTGCCAAGCCCATACTCGCCGTGCACCCGCCCATGGCGGTGGCGGCATGGGCCTACGCCCTCGCAGCCTTCAACATGGGTGCCACGGCGCTGGCCTCTGCAGAGAAGTGGGTGCTGCCCTCCGATGCGGTTGGGCCGCTGATGTACTGGACGTTTGTGTGCTCAGTGTTTGGGTACGCCACGATCGCCTGGGGTATCAAGCTGCTACCCCCCTCCCAGGTGGCAGCCTTCCAGTGCCTGCAGCCCCTGGTGGGCACGGTCCTTGCATTTTCCTTCCTGGGGGAGCGGCTAACCTGGTGGGACCTCGGGGCTGTGGGCGTCGTGGGGGGCCTTTTTCTGGTCACATCTGCCAGTGACGGTCCCAGCAGCACGCGCCTCAGCTCGCCCAGGATCCCAATCTTCTCCTGGACACCTCAGGGGAAGCACGCGAGGCATGGGGCTCCTAACTGGCTGAACTGGCTGGAAATTCCCGGTGCTGGGGGACATGAACAGAAATCGTAGCTTTGTGCCTTGGCCTCAGAAAGGGATTTGATTGAAGGGCATTCAGTTCGATTAGACTGAGGGATGTAGTATCAGCAACTCAGATTCTTAGTAGTGCAATTTAGCGTCTTCATGGTTTGCACGGCCTCTTGGAGGTCGCAATGATGGCTTCCTGAAGTGGGATGTAGTATCAGCAACTCAGATTCTTAGTAGTGCAATTTAGCGTCTTCATGGTTTGCACGGCCTCTTGGAGGTCGCAATGATGGCTTCCTGAAGTGTTGAGTAGCTGGGGTGCTGTACTTAGTTGTAGGGTTGGGCGATTTCGACGGCTTGGGATCCCATCAAGAAACAAGCCCAGAGCTGCAATTGCATCTGTCTGATGGCCGACTTGGCATCGCTGAATGCTGGCACACCGCACGATGCACGTTGATGTCAATAGACTCTATCTGTAAATGGCGTTGACAAACACTTGAATTTGCTGATCCTCCGAGTGGAGTTTTAGCTGAATTTTTGGTGCCGAGGAGGAGAACACCATAAAGTTGGTAGTTCGAACCTAAAATGCAACTGTAGAAAAACTCGGTTCAAATTCAGACGTCTCAGCTTGCGCTCACAACAACAGAAATACCGCAGCGTCATCAGAAAGCCCATTCCACATGCTACAGTAATAGCTCATTTCCACCACGCCTCAGGAACGACTCTTTCCTCACCCTTGTCATTTCCAACGATTTGCATTCTCCCCATGGCCCTCTCGGTCTTGCACCACACGCCAAATGATAGATTGAGCATGCCATCCTGAATTTGATCACAGTTGCCAAAACAAGCAATTTCCCACCGATATCCTGCAGTGCACCTTCGACGTTGGGCACATTTCCTGGCGCACAACTACGGCTTCGTGCAGCTCCGTACATCGTCAAGGCCTTACAATTACAAGGCACTGACGGCGCCCTGAGCTGGCAAGCTCAACAGCTCCTTCGAGACTCCCCACCGCGCAGCAGCGCTGTCAAGAAAGCACAGTCGACAGCAGCCGATATTTGGAAATGACGAGAGAACACAGCAGGAAAGTTGGCAAATGTAGCAGCACAGCGATGCGCTAGGAAAACAGCACACGCAACCATCCCACGGCAACAGGCACCAGGGTACAAGGCTGGAAAGTTCCCCGTTGGAAGGAACGCAAAGACTGAGATGCAAGCAATCCACAACAATCCCTTACAGAGCTGACGGTCTGTTCAAAGACCTCAAGCGCTTGGCTGGCCAAACTCAGCCTGCGTGCAGTGCTTTCCAGCTTATGAAGCGCGCACGCTGCCGATAAATTGCTGCTAAGTCTCAGTTAAGATTACCGGTATTGGACCACTGAATTGACCCTGATTAGTACATGAGCTATCTTGAGAAGAAAGCATAAAGAATGAGAAAGAAACGAAGCACGGACAAAAATATGATGAGAGGTGAATATGAGATTGCCAAAAAAATGAAGATGCAGAAAGAAAAGAAAGGAAAAAAAGGGCGCAAACAAGATGAGACAGTGTCAAAATGAGTTCGCAATCAGGCCATCGTTTTAAGGTCTTATGATGGACAGCTTTGTCCATATTTGGTAATCAGTTCAAGCTTCATTGCGTGTCTCCCGTCACCTTCTGAGTCGAAACAGCGATTGAGGTTTGACCAGCGCGCTATCGCTGCGATGTCTGAAATTCAGTCAGCGTTTCGATCTGATTTCGCCATCAACGTTCTCTCTAAGCGTGTTCATGCTTGTGTTGATACTTGGCCACTTGCACGGCCCGCCTTGGTGGCAGGAACTTTGTGCTTTTTATGCTCTATGTCCGTCTAGCCGCGGTGCCTACACTTGACATTGGGGTGCTGTGAGAAATGGATGTTTTGGAGGACGTGATGGTTTGCGGAGAAAGCCGACGGCAGAATGATGGCAGGTTGCGAATGGTGAAGCCTTATAAGGCCAGCGTCGGTCGCAATCAAAAGGCTCATACAGATTCAGAAGGGAAGCGTGAAGGGTCAAGAGAAGGGGGCTAGTCGCAGGCAAGGCATCGCAGACTTGCATCCATCGCCGATTCAATCGATGGATGGGTCCCGGCAGGCTCAGAGATGGCTGCACTATTGGCACAACTATGTGCGCCATATTAGACAGGGTTCGCTTTTGAAGCAGCTCAAAGATTCGGTAATTGGCTTTGAGCATCGCCCGGCACAGCGATGGGCGGCATCTCCAATGCATGCCGAAATGATATTTGAGGATGGAGAGATTTGCCGAGGCAAGGAGGAGATTGTGGACGGGACGGGCGTTGGAGTTGCGACGTTGGGAGAAGAGTTGAGTTGGGTCGTTCGCCAGGAGCAGGAGGCTGTGGCCACTAATGGTACCAGCTACAGGGTAGGGGCGTCTCAACTCTTTAATCTCAGACCCGCCTCGCCGGGAACCTGATGGCATACGGGCCGTCACGCAGGACCACCCCTAACTACTACCCATATAGCATGTCCTGGTTTCTCATGAAGGAACTGGATAGACCGTCCCCTACACTAGGCCCAGCAATAGGTCCTAGGTGAGGCGTCCCCACACTAGGCCTGTGCATAACAACTAACCCGCAGGTGCAGAAGGAGTTGGGCGGGGAGCAGAATGATGTTTTGGCGAGCTGTGCCATGGCTGTCTGAGTGGGAGGAGAGTGCGGCGACAATTTTTGGGAAAGATATTCATATGCTTGATTTGTCCGGCCTGCCTGATTTTGATGGTTTCAAGAAGTTTGATGTGAAGATTGAGCCTTGAAAAGTACAAGACTTTTTGAGAATAATAGTTTTAATGTGGATCGTTTGTTGGATCATGTGATGATGGTTTCCAAACGGGACAAACACACTCTAGCTACAAAAGGAGGTGACCGAGTCTGCTTTGTGCACTCTCCAAGTTATGTTGCATATTGATACTATTTGTGGGGTAGGGGCGCCTACCCTCTTTAATACCAGATCCGCCTTGCTAGGAACTTAATGGTATATGGACTGTCAAGTGGGACCACCCCTAACTACTACCCATATAGTCTATCCTATTAGGGGTTGCTTATGAAAGACCTGGATAGAGTGTCTCCTACACCAGGCCCAACAATGGGTCGTAGGTGAGGCGTCCCCCATACCAAGCTTGTGCAGAACACATGCATTGCTTGTTGTAATAACTAGAGATGGAGTTTGACCAAGGATAGTGGTCGAACCTAATGCCTGTACTTGCTTGTGTAGCATCGTCTAACCAACAACTTTGGTCGAACGAGAACTGGTCAAACCAATGAATCAAGTCAAACCCAATTTGGGTACAAAGAATATGGACGCATTCAGTGAAACTCGGTTCTTGTGAGTTGTTTTGGGCTTGGAGCTTGACGCTAGTTCATTGAACATAGTCCCTTGCGTTTTTGCAAGTCACGACAAACCATCAATCCAAATCAGGATTCCCATGGCTTATTCACTTTCATAGTCTCACTATTGCCAGTTATCATTAAACGTTTAAAATTGTTCGATTTGTTAGCAAAGCGCTCTTTAGTTGTCAATGCACATTGCGCAATTCGTACATAACTCCCAACACGCTGTATGATGGACATTTGGTTTTTTGAGTTGTTGCTGGTGCAATTGAAGAGTGGTTATCATTTCAAAAGCTAGGGAGTCGGGGGGAAGGTTGGTGGCAATTTCATGATAGATGGATTCAAACCAATTTGGTGCAATGGGTGAATTTTGCAATGGAACTAGTGGTCGAAACTAGTTGCAACTCGTGACAATCAGGGCATTCAAGACAACACGAGCTTCGGGGGCTTCTTTGGTTGTGTGTGACTAGTTGAATTCTACCTGAAGGTGGGCACGACAGGAACGGGGATGGATTAGGAGGGGGGATGGACTAAAGTTTGTTCCAATTCTTGGGCCCACAGGCTCAAGAACGGCCCATCCTTAGGCTGGAATGGACTCGGGACGCATTTGGAATGGTGTGCAGCTGTCCAATGTTCATTCCAGCATAGTACGGTCATGTCAGGAATCCATTCTTGTACCACCCACAGCATTCTAGAGTCCATTCCAAGCCGTTCTTATTGTGGCTCTGTCAGCAGCCGCTGGTTTCCAGAGTCGTTGGGGTCGCACTACCCTGCAGCACGGCTGTTGGAGGTCAGCCGGCCTCTCCACCTTAGATGGTGGGCGTATCCGGGGCAGTCGCTTCCGTTGTCGCACGGTGGGCCCAATGCTCGACGCGGATCGATCCCCAGGACCTGCTGTCAGCAAAAGGTGGCAGCGTAGCGAGGTGGTGGTTCGCTGGCTCGCGGGAGGCCAAAGAGTGGGCCAGAGCAGTTACATGGGTTCACAGTATGCGCGCGCACATATTGCATGCGAGATGCCCGATCGCGGGTCTATCACAGTCACATCAAAACAAGACAACTCAAGTGCACATCCAGGAACATTGTCACCGTCCACCATTCACCTATGATCGACTTATTGTCCTCTAATTCCAAGCATCTAACACCCGACTTCCTGGCCCTAAGTACTACGACTTCAAGAGACCATAACTTCATCGTTTCTAAATGGAACTGGGCGTTTAAAGGCACATTGGAATTAGGAAGCTCTAAATAACACCTACAAAAAGGTCAATTTTCCAAGATACCTATTTCCCACTCTAGAAAACGTCAATAACTGCCTAACCCCAAGTAACCACGTCACAGTTCTAGAGCCCATTCCAAGTTATTCCAGAGCCCATTCTGCAATCCGTTTTGTGATACATAACAATGCCAAATTCATGCGTGGACCAACGAAAACGCAGCGATCAGGTTTGCCATGTGGGCCATGCGCCCCACGGTTCACAAACGAGTACCCCTACCCCTGCACCATGCAATTTCTGCTCATTGAGATGGGCAGCAATACCAAGTAGACAAAGTGGCGGCTTGTGAAGGCTGGGGACCCCCGTCCCCAAGCCCGGCCTTACCAAGGCGGTGCCCCACAGCAATAGGCGGAGGATGCCCAGCTCAATTGTCGACCCGTCGATCCCTCAAGATAGTGCAGCAGCCCCGTCT